TTTTTTTTTTTTTTTTTTTTTTTTTTTTTTTGGGGTAAGCTAGACAATGACTAATTAAGAAAGATGGTTTCGAATTAATTATTCACGGCTGAAGATTTCAAGGCCTCTTCTCTCAAAAAATTTAGTAAATAAGTCAAGACCCAACACAACTCAAAAATCTATTTGAAATAAGAGAAAGAATTATCCGAAACAATTCTGTTTCATAAAAATATTCAAAGTACGGTGAGTTTGAAAAATATTTCTAACATAGTCTTAGAATCTTAAATTATTCCAAAATAATACGTAGAATCTTAATTAATACTATTGTTGTGGCAACTCTTTTTGCATCACAAATTTCGGGCAGCTTGAGGTGTTTGCCGTGACTTAGAGGGCAACTGAATTTTTAGATTCTTTGCTCGCAAAACAGAAGTCATTTGTTGAAAAAGATACAAGCAACATGCTGAACTGGTTATTAGACAACTGCAGGGACTATATGAATTAAGAGTGGCAATGTGAGTTGCATCACATTTTTAGGGAATTAAGTAATTGTGCTGATCACATAGCTTCTAATTTTTACCATTTGGAGAAAAGCCTTCATGTATTTGAGGAAACTCCTAATCAAGTATATGAATATCTTAGGAATGATTTAATAGAAGTATATAGATTTAGAGCCTTTAGATTAATTAATACTTAAACACTGCTTAATGTACCAAAAAAAAACTTCTCCCTAAGAAATTAAAGAAAAACAAAAGAGTCCCACGCCTTTGTAGTTAGTGGTGAAATTCAAGAATTTCATAATCAGGCAATGCAAAAACATCACCATAAGAAACATAAAGAAGACGATAACCCTTCTCAATTCAGAAAAAAGAAAAATCTACAAATCCAGAATTTTGATTTGACAATGTTGAATGATATATAAGAGTATCATTACAAAAAAAAAATGACAAGCCAAAAAGCACCTAAAAACACAAAAAATAAAAAAAAAAAGGAAATAAATTTTAAAAATCCATAAAAATTAGAAACTTGCAACTAATTTGGCATTAGAAAATAGACACTAAAAAAAAAATTATCAGCGAGACTAATTATTGCTCGGTTAACTGGCTAAATTGGCAGGCCCAAAACAAAATAGGCTAAATTGAACAGAGCCCAGAAATAGCCCAATCATCTGCCATATGATGATAAAATTGAGTCACTCACAAAGCATGAAGAAGCTCCACGTGTACGTCGTGATGAAAGTCATGGGGCGGTAAGCACACGCCAACTATTTAGTAATCCAATTAGGTTAATTGCTTTTGAAAGAGAGAGTTCTTAACCTAATTGTCATGAAGAAAATAGACCCGCGTAATTGAATTAAGGATGATTATGGGATTATGGGCCAATCACATTAGGAGTCATAGTTCTTGTTGGCAATATGTACGGGCCTCAAAGCAGCCATTGCTGACCAGACCACTCCCTTTGCTTTTGTGATCGGGATAGTAGAAATGTCATGTACATACAGAACATTCCCTTTGCTTTTGTGATCAGGATACTAGAAATGTTATGTACATACATACATATATGTATATATGTAGGGATAATTAGAAACCCCATTGCTTAATTTTGTCCTTCTGGGCAGGTAAAATTGATATGCTAATGGATTGAGACATGCATATAGAAAAATGCATGTGTATAAACTTTTGAAACTCTTCAAGCATGACGGCTACTGCCTAAAATTCTTCTTTTAAAAATCTTAAATAAAAATTAATAATATAATATTGTCTTTAGCACAAAGGGGAGGTGCAACCATGATAGTAACCTGAATTAGTCTATAGAAGCAGTTAACCTTCACATTCAACTACTTTTCAACCAGGACCTAAATCAGTCTACACAAGCAGTTTACCTTCACATTCAACTACTTAGACATAGTATAGATTCGATTACTTAAAAACAATGCAGAAAAATAAAATAAATTAAATTAAAGAATCCTTGCATACACAGAGTGAACACAGCTTCAAAATTAAGGGTCTCAAACCTGGCAATCATCTCTACATACCAATTATAAAAAAATTTACATAAAAAAAATCAAGTTATAATTTAAGGGGCTTACAGACAATTTAATGTAGATACACTAATATTATTGGCGAATCATGCCAAGAGACCCCTTGAACTTGACTATCAGTGACAGATTAGTCCCTAAACCTAATTCAGAAGCACACCACCCCTTATACTCCTCGAGAGCAACAAATGAGCCCTTATTTGAAGGGTAATGTCATCATTCCATTAAAAACTAACAGACCTTTCATTAAGTGGAGAAATTCTAAAATATTATGGGGGTACCACTAACATGGGATCGTTGTCCAATAAAAACCTAACAAATCAATAACTCATAACACACATCATGGCAGTGAAATGGAAGATGCATTTAACGAAAATCCAAGATCCTCCGTTAACATTGTTGATGGACAAAAAACCATTAAGTGGGTTCCAAAGCTGAGTTGACAATTGCATGGCCTTTGCAGGCTAACACGGCAAGTGCGTTCCACTTTAGAAGAAAAGTAAAAGGTTAAATGTTAATTTTGGTCCCTCAATTTTATTGAGTTGCATTTTTTTTGTCCTTAAACTATTTTTTGTATTTTTTCGATCTCTCAATTCTAAGAACTACACAATTTTGATCATTCTGTCAGTTTAAGCCGTTAACTCCGTCTATATGGCAATTTGCAGTCTATATGGCAATTTGCAATCTATGTGGCTCCTGCACTGAGAATGTGGAACATTTGTTATTAAATTGCATTGCTGCTTGGAAGCTATAGACAAAATGCTTCAGATGGTGGGGACTTTCCTATGTCACGCATCAAAACTTAAAGGAGGCTTTTCAACAACAAATATGGATCAACCAAATAAAGAAAGTAGCAGGGTGTGTGGGAGGTTATATGGTTTGCTGTTGTATGGACCATATGGCTATGCAGAAATGAACATATATTCAAAGGTATCAATGTTGAGGAGGAGAAATTGTTTACATTGGTGCAAACTCGTTCTTACCATTGGATAACAGAAAAATCTGGACAAAGAGATTTCAACTTCTTAGATTGGATCACCAACCCATGGGAGTGTTCAAAACTCATGCAGAAAGTAAAGCAAAAGAGATGATGAAATGATATAGCACTTCGAGAGGGTAATGCTAGTTGGTAATATGTTCATTAAAATGAAATGTTTTAATGTTTTCAATTTGTAAGGATACTTGATGGAATTGGATTGGAGTACCCCTGTTGTTCTATTAATAAAATGATTTTTGTTTTTGTTGTTCAAAAAAAAAAAAAACTCCATCTATATGGCATTTTTTATATTTTTTTTATGATATATATAATCCGACTGAAAAAAAGTGATGAAATAAATAATCCAACTAGAAAAAAATGATAACATGGATAAATAAAATAACATATCAAATAAATCATTATATTTTTAATAAAAAAAATAAAAAAAATCTAACAGCCTATCTTTTTCTCCCTCTTTCTTTCTCTTTCTTCCTCCTTTTGCCGCTGCCTCTTTCTGTTGACCAAACCCAACAAAACTAGGATCCATTGAACCTTTTCCCCCTTCTTTCTCTTCTTCCCCCTCTTGCTTTCTTTTTCTTCCTCCTCCTGCTGCGACCTACCGAACCTTCTTCCCCCTTTTGCTTTCTCTTTCTTCCTCCTCCAGCTATTGGGTTCATTTGAACCCAGTTCTGGGTTCCATGGAACCCAAATTTCTAGGTTCCATGGAACTCGAATTTCTGGGTTTTGTAAACCCATGTTTATAGATTTTGTTTTTGTCTGATGGATTTTTGTTTCAAATATTGTAGTTGTGGGATTGCAATTTAGTATTATGAATGTTGCAAAATTTTGTTTATATGTTTTGGTTTGGCTATTTCTCTTGTGAGTATGTGATCTATAAGTTAGATTGAAGTAGTATGAATTTTCAAGGTTTTGATTTTGTTTTGTTACAAGGTTAATCTTCGCTGTCAAGAAACAACTTTGGCAAGAGAGAAATTTATTAAATCCTAATTTTGGTTTTGTTGTTATATTTCATTTTGATTTTGTGCAATCAAAAAGATTACATTGGTTTGGTAAAAGTTTAATTATGATTAATAATTTTAATTATATAAATTAATGGGTTTTTTTTTTTAATATTGCTATATAAGTTTTAATACCACCTCGTAAGCATTTTTTTTCAATTGCGTTATCCATGTCATCATTTTTTCTAGTTGGATTGTCCATGTCATCAAAAAATATATAAAATGCCACATGGACAGAGTTAACGGCTCAAACTGAAAAAGATATTATAAAATTGTGCAATTCTTAGAGTTGAAAGATAAAAAAAGTGCAAAAAATAGTTTAAGAACCAAAAAAATGCAACTTAATAAAGTTAAGGGACAAAATTAGCATTTAACCAAAGTAAAAATATAATGTACTTCTTAAATTAAACTACTCATTATTTTAAATTTATAAAATGTGCAACTCTGGTTTTAGTTTTTTTTTTTTTATGGTATTTTTAATTAGAGTGTTTTTTAGTCAATTTTTATTTAATAGAGATTAATCCCCATATATAGCATAAAATTCACCTCATACTCCATTAACTCTGTATTCAAACAAGTAAGAAAATTAAGTTTGAATGATAAATAATGATGATCATAGAATAAAGAAATAGAAAACAATTTCCAAGCACAAAACAAAGATAGAAAATTAAGTCTGAATCCAATTTACCCCTCACTTTCAAGACAAAAATAGAAACAATGACCAAAAACAAGTTGCAATTTTTTTTGAATGATTACATCAACACCAGTTAAAAGAAGTTCGTAAAAAGTTCTAATTCTTGCTTGCTGATAAAAAAAAAAAAAAGAAAAAGTCCTGGTTCTGTATGAATAGAAGAACCTAAAATATTTATGTTTTAGATTGTTGTTTCATAAAATGTTTCAATATTAATAGGTCTAATGACATAGGGGCCATGTTGTTTCCAATTCAGTAGCAAGTAGAGTGAAACATCAGTACAGTTAGTTTTTGACAAAATGATGATGTAATTACTCAAACAAGAGCACTTTTGTCACTATCAAAGAGAATAAGGGGTAGTATATATGCTTCTGAATTTGGTTTAGGGGCTAATCTGCCACTGATAGTAAGTTCAAGGTTTTTCTTGCATGATTCGCCGAGATCGTTACATTTGCTTCTGCATTAAAGTAGAATTTAGAACCACACGGTTTCGTTGTTATCTTGACTAAGAAAGATGTCATTGAATTACACCTAATCAGCCCGCATGTCATTGATAACCCTCTTGTTACCTTTGACATTTTTTTTGCGCCGTCCTTGTTGCCTTAATACCTTTGATTAAGAAAGATGTCTTTGTTTTCTTGGTATGCTAGACAATGATTAAGAAAGATGTTTTCGAACTAATTATTCATGGCTGAAGATTTCAAGGGCCAAGTTTAGCCTTTCTTTAAAAAAAAAAGAAAAGAGAAATAGTAAATAAGCCAAGCCCAACCCAACTCAAAGATTTTTAGGAAGTAAATTATTTTGCTGATCCTTCTAATTTTTACCATTTGGAGAAAGGCCTTCATATATTTGAGGAACTTCCTTATCAAGTATATGAAGATCTTAAGAATAAGTTGATAGAGGTGTGTTAACCTAAAATTTTTAGATTAATCAGTGCTTAAATACTACTCAATGTACAAAAAAGAAAAAAAAGAAAAAAAAGAAGGAGATAAATTTTACGAATCGATGAAAATCAGAAACTTGCAACTAATTTGGCATTAGAAAGTAGACACTGGGGCCTTTTTTTATTTTTATTTATTTATTTATTTTTTATCAGCGTGACTAATTATTGCTCGGTTAACCGGCTAAATAGACAGGCCCAAAAGAAAATAGGCTAAATTGAACAGAGCCCAGAAATTGCCCAATCCAATTAACTCGACGGATTCAACCATTTCTTTCAGCAACACAGCACTTTTCCCGTCCGAGATCCGGCCACAGATCGGTGCTCTGCTAGGAACCATCGGAACCATGGCCGACGGTAAGAGCGAGACTCCAACGGAGAAGGAGACGCCGAAACCGAAACCGAGACCGATCCTGCGTCTCGTCATCTTCCTCATCTCTCAAAGCTTCCTCGTCAGGTAGATTTTATCTCCTTGAATCTACATTCTTTCTCCTTTTGTTTCATATCTGGATTCGATTCAATCGCCTATAATCTACTGTTTCTCTCTTTAATTTGTTATAGTGTTATTTGTTGCACTGCTGGTGTTCTGGCTCTGCTTCTCCTTCCTGTTCTCGCCAAGAACACTTACATCTCCGAAAATGCCCTCATGCCAGGTCGCTCCATTTCCTTTCTTCCATTTCCGTTCTGTTTTTCTACTAATAACTTTGTGAATATGTGATTGTGGTAGTTTAGCTGGTTTCTGAATTCTTTTATTCTTCAGATGTAGAAAATTCTAAAGTGCCAAATTCGGTCGTTTCTTTAGTTAGCTTGAGTAGGAATTTGCAGTTTAATACTTTAATTGAGTGCAGGATGTTAACGGGAAATAGGAAGCTGAAATACCTTGCTTTTCTCTTTGGTGTTTTTAATGCATTTGTTTCTTAAGTATTTATGGGTGCATTTATATTGTCTTGTTTGGCAGTACAAGAAATTCTGAGGGTTCAATCTTATTGTCTTGTAGGTTCTGCAAGTCCCATGATTTCTAATCAGGAGGTTTTGGATGGAAATAAATTGGTTGAGGATTTAACCAACCTGAATTCTAAATATTTGGATGGGGGAATGTAAGTGTCCATTATGAAGTTTAGGTTGCCTTCGCGTATCTTTCCTGTTTGAAAATATTTGAAGGTGACCTTATCTGAGTTTTTCAATTGCTGCTTCAGTTTGGCTTGATTTTCATACAAACTTTAGAATTCAATACAACTTACCTTTTTGTTCCATGCTTTTAGATATGGAATGTTGATGGGGTGCTTAATTTTTAGATTCTATTTCTTTATCATTTTCCAACCTCATACTTTTTTTGGATGATCATGCTTGACCCTTCAGAGAAAGTCAGAGAATCATAGCAAAGTACATGTCAGACTTGGGTGCTGAAGTTAGTTATCACAAATTCCACCCTCAGTCAAATAGGTTTCATCCACTGCACCTTTTTTCTGATCCTGATTCTAGAGCTCAAGAGAACTTTAGTTGCTCATCATATGGCATCAACACTATTGGGATAATAAGGGCTCCACATGGTGATGGGAAAGAAGCCATTGTCTTGGCAACTCCTTACAATTCTTTAAAGAGTGATCTTGGTGAGTCTTTCTCCGTAGGGATTGCATTCTCGGTATTTTCCTTGCTCAGTCAAGTTACTTGGCTGGCAAAGGATATTATATGGATTGTTGCAGATTCACGATATGGAGAATATGCTCCTGTTGCTGCTTGGTTAAAAGATTATCACGTGCCTAAATTTAGCAGTCTGAGTTCAGGAAATGTGGAGATGTGCCATGATGGTAAGAATCTTTATGAGTTGAAAGGCAAATCCATAACTGGTGATTTTAGACGTGCTGGAACTATGGCTGCTGCTCTGGTCTTGAAGGTCAGTGATAGAACTGAAGAATTGGAAGACACGGTTAGCATTTATGCTGAGGCATCTAATGGGCAGATGCCAAACTTGGACCTCATCAATATTGTATATTACTTGGCAGCTCACCATAGGCAAGGTTTTCGTGTGAAGGTGGAGAGATTATGGTCCCTACTTGACTGCAGTTTGCTCAAAGTTTTGGGCACAATAATTGAATTTGTGGGAGAAGTGGCTAGAAGCTTAAATCCTGAATGGAAGTTTGGCATCCCTGCTACAGATTATGTCGAAGGCACTGCTACACTTGCAAGTTCATTGTATTCTCAGGTAGTGTCCTCTTTTGGTTAGTTTATCTATTAATTTCCTGCTTTCTTCTCTTGGGGTGTTAATTGCCAAATATCTGTTACTTTTAAGAATCAAATTGAAGGATCAAGAAAATTAAGAAGTTGCATGTTCTTGCTGTTCTCTATTATTGAGCACAGGTTTACTTCCTCTATCTCTGTCTGTTGTCAGGCCCTGGGTGTTCCCACAGGTCCACATGGTGCATTTCGTGATTACCAGGTCGATGCCATCACCTTGGAGTTTTCTCCCAAATTTACATCTGATATGAAGGTCAGGCACAATGATTTCTTTCTAAGAGGTGGCCGGTAAGTGCGCATGCCAAACCATTCCTCTTTGTAACTTGAATTCCTATTGCCAAGTGCTGCCTGAAAATTACAAAATAGTGATGAGTCTTGCAGTATTTGTCATCTTTGATACATTCTCATGACTTCTAAATTCAACTTCTGTGGATGATTTTAATGAAAGTTATTAACTGTAGTTAAGAAGTATTAGGAGCACATGAGTTTTATAATTTGTTGAGCATCTTGATAATTTATTGTTTCTCATTTTCCTGAAAGTTATCATGCTGCTTGATGCAGATTGATTGAAGGAGTTATCCGATCAGTGAATAACCTTCTTGAGAAGTTTCACCAATCATTTTTCTTATACCTCTTAACATCTCCCAATAAGTTTGTCTCGGTAGGAGTCTACATGATTGCATTTGCACTCGTCATAGCCCCACTTCCAATGATAGCGGCTTCACTTTATATCAGTGCCAATAATTCAAATTCTAGTTTAAAGCAGGACAAGTCCACTTTGTCTCCTTACCCTGTTGCTGATGAGCACAGTAACACAGTTAGATCATGGAGATGGCTTAATGCAGCAAAAGTAGTTTTTATCATTCACTTATGGGGTGCTGTTGTTTCCTTACTTCCATATTTCATCTGTCAGATACCTGATCTCACCTCAACGACTAGCTTTCTGATCTGGGTTTTGCTTTCAGTGCTCAGCCTTCAGGTATTGTACTCAATTCTGGCTTCTCCTTTTCCCCATGCAAATGCATCTCAACCACAAGAAGGAGATTGGGCTCTCTTGAAATCAGTGACTATCTCAGCCCTCTTCATTGGTTTGGGACTCATGTCAGTCATTAATTTTGCCACAGCGGAAATTGGTGCTCTACTGTTGGTCCCAACATGTTTGTTGGCTCGACCTTTGAGGCTTGATCTTAGAGCTAGAAGTTTGAGAAGCTTTTCTAGGGTGATTTGTAATCTGGTTTTAGGGCATATTGCCTTTCCTCCAGCAGCTTTCCTTGTAGTGAAAGGGGTGTTTTCAGGTTTTGGCAGCGCTAATGTTGGTGATTTCTGGAATTGGGTTGAGTCCCTTTGGGCATGGAACAGTGCTACATATCTCTACATCAGTATGGTGCACCTGCCTTGCTGGGTGTTATGCATTTATATCCTAATTCATACTTGTTGACACGGGTTAGTTAATTTTGTTCTGAACGTCATTGTTCCCAAATGAAAGTTGACGATCAGCAGCAATTTTTCCTATGTTGTGATGCTATCCGATTGCAAGTTGGTTTGCAGAATTCTAGCAGAGATATGGATTAATATTGCGATAGATGCTGACAATCCATACTTTTTGCTTCATGTTTATGGCAGCATGAAACCAAGAATTAAAACTGCCTTCCCATTCTACAGCCACTTGCCAAATGAATACCTCTCATATCTCCATCAGCAGCGCTTCATGCACAAAAATAGAGTAAACTTTGTGTTAATATGTTTACTGACAATTATTGTTGCATGTAAAACAAACCTACCAGTATTTAGCAATCCTGTCAAGGTGCTTTCCTTTTTCTCTTAAATTTTATGGCGTTAGATGGTGAGATAGTTTCTATCAGTGTCTGTCTTTCATATTTAACGTCAATCATTCTGAAGCTTAGAGTTGCAAGTCTTTTTTGTATGGGCGACATTGTCAAGTGTTTTCTCTTTCAATAGCTGGATATGTATGTGCTTTTACTATTTTGTGGTACCGGTTTTACTGGGCATGTCCTAGCAACTTCCTCTATTAATTAAATTCATGTATTGTTGGATCCAAAAAAGAAAAAAAAAATTTATATGCATGGTGTTTTTTTTTGTCTTGCTTTGAAATTCATGCAAACAGAATTCAAACATAGTTAGGTCATAAATTTGAGAGAATTTTTAAACAAAAATCTATAATTATAATATCACATAATATTATAAGTTTACAATTATAATGTGTTTTTTTATAACAACTTGATTAATGTAAGTATAAAAGGTACTCAGCCCATACAATTACTAAATGTAGTCTGTTTTACCTATGCATGCTTATGATATAATGTTAGCAAGAGCAATAGTATTCATATTAACCGCCTTTATGCATGGGGGGTTCTTGGTATCAATAAACCCCACTGTACTTCATCCATGATTTCATTAAGGCACAATCATAAAGTATTATTGTATAATTAATTTTTTTAATTAGAACTCACTCATAATATTATATATGTTAACTTTTTAATAATATGATAAATTTAACAATTTAACCTGTTATTCTAACTATATTATTATTATCTCTCAAAGATAGGGGTGGGTAAAAACCGATTTTGGTTGAAACCGAAATTGGTTTTAAATTAATCGAAAAAAATTTTCTTCAAATTTGAGAACCAAAACCAAACCAAAATTTTCACCAACCGATTAGTTCAATTACCAATAAAATCAGTTATTTTATATTTTGTTTCAGTTTTTACGAATAAACATTAATAAGTTTTTTTTCCCAATAATAAATTACATTTCATGTCATATTTTATCATATTTTGTCATATTTATCCAAATTTCGATTTTTGAGAGGCTCATTTTGGTTTTTGGTCAGTGAAAGATTCAATCAAAATCAAATCAAAATTTATTCAATAACATCAAACCGAAACAGTAAAACCTAAAAACCATTAAAATTAAACTAAATTCATTTTTTCGGTTCAATTTTCAGGTAACCCTTCGGTTACCCACCTGAATGCCTACCCCCACTAAAAAATAGATAGTGTTAATTTTTTCATTCATCCATCATCATTTATGACATAATTATAATTAGGTCTTTTCTGTTTATCTATTCCCGTTCATTTTTCTTTATGTTTGGTTATAATAAGTTTTCAAAAGATTCTCTTTAACAACAAAAAAAAACTTAATTATTAAAAGTACAAGAAGCACTCCAATTTATTACAACCACAAACAATTCAAAGCAAAACACACACAACATTCAACTACACAACATGTACACTTTGAATGAAGACAAAGAAACAACATGCATTAGGAAAATAATTGATATACTTTTAGTTTAACATACTTTCTTACATCTACCTACACTTACTAGTTCAATTTAATCATTAAAAAGTATAGTTTTAAGTTTAATTTCTTATATGTAATTTAAATTTAAAAATAATAATTTATTAATTAACGAATATGTTATGGTATGTGTTGAAACGAATGATGTCTATATTAATATTTTATTTCTTTCTACAGTTTCATTGTGCATTGGTGTATGTTCTACTAGAAAAATTGTGTTCTCAGCTTGACCATCTTATTCTGCTCCACTAGTTCTCGCTTTCATGAGGACATCACCAGTAGAGAGAAGAATTTTTAAATTCAGTATTGATAGGAGAAAATAATTGCTGAATTTAGTATTGAAAAACTCACATAAAATAGTAATCTAAACATTGACAACGACTGCCAGATAACCTTAAGACATTCCTGAACCTTATACATCCATATCCATCAATCAAATTATATTTTACATGTAAATTAACGTTATTCATTAGGCCGCAATTGCGCATTTGGATACCTTGTTTATACTTATTGGTCACCCCTTGCTTTCATTTCAACCCGAAGAACGGGCTGTCTTGAAATACTTTGGACCATCTATGTTCCAGGCTCAATCAGCTGAAGTTAGTAAGGAACAGAACATGTACTTAGCTAGTTAGCTTAACTGGCCCAAATCAGAGCTAGGGTAGGACTTTATTTTTATTTTTTTTTTTTTTAAGGCAGGATGGGTATTAAATGCAAAGCCTGGTTTGCATAATTGTAATTTAGTTAGATTCAAAAAAAAAAAAAAAAAAAAAGCATTTGCTTTATTTTCTTTAGTGGTTAGAAATTAGAGATTGATCCCACCTTGGTGGTTCACATGCAACTCCACTATCAAATTATATGATATTTGTTTTATGATTTTATTAAAGTTAAAATAAAATAGATATGGATCATGACACATGATCACTTTAATTTTAAGTTAAACTCCCATTTTGGTTCTTGAACTATTGTATGGATCTCCAATTTGATCTCTGAACTTAAAAAATCTTTGATTTGGTCCCTACTGTTCATTAATTTGGCTATAACTTGGTCCTTTCATTAAAAATCCACCGTTAATTCATAGGAAAAAAATTTTTTTCCTTCTCTTTCCCTTTCTCTTTCCCCTTGGGGTCTGCTCGGTTCTTTTCGAACCCAACAAACTTGGAAACCAACACGTCTGGGTTCCAACTGTCGGATCCAAGCAACCATTGGGTTCTTTCAAACCCAACACGCGTTAGTTCGATGGAACCTAGTGCCTATTGGTTCTAACCCAACAAATTTTTTGTTTTGTGCAAGAAATAAAAAGATTTTCTATTTTGTGTGGGTTTTGTTGTTTGATGATTATCAAGAATTGATTGATGAAGAATGGAATTTTATTTCATTAAATTGATTGTTTAATTCAGAAAAATGGTGATGAAAGTTGACTCGGAAGAGGCAAAGAAAGAGCAAAAGAAGAATGAATGGAGAAAATTTGAGAAAGAGGATGCTGGAGGAAGAAGATGAGGGTCAAATTATAATTTTGGTGGATTCCACTTTTTTTTTTGGGTATTGAACAAGAATATAACATGTCATGTTGCCATGTCATCATTTTTCCATTTGTACATCATTAAGTTCTTATGAGTTAACCATGGATTTTTAACGGAAAGACTAAGTTAGAGTTAAATTAGTAAACAGTAAGAATCAAATTATGGATTTTTTAAATTTAAAGACTAAATCAAGAGTCCATACAATAGTTCAAAGACCAAAATGGGGGGTTTAACCTTAATTTTTATTATTTTCGTTTAACTTAGCGTCAGTCATTGTGAAGCTTGGAGTTGCAAGTCTTTGTATGGGCGACATCGTCAAGTGTTTTCTCTTTCAATGGCTGGATATGAATGTGCTTTACTATTTTGTGGTACCGATTTTACTGGGTATGTCCCAGCAGCTTCCTTTATTAATTAAATTCATGTATTAATGTTGGATCAATATGAAAATCCATACTTTTAGGTTCACGAGGCACCCTAAATTGGTATGCATGCTCTAGGTAGATGAAATGTTTAGAGGGGCGTGTGGAATAGTTTTTTGGTTTTCTTTATTGTTAGTTGCTAGAGTCTCCTTAGCGTTTTCTCAGTACTTTTTGCTTCATGTTTATGGCAGCACGAAACCAAGAATTAAAAGTGCCTTTCCATTCTACAGCCACTTGCCAGATGAATACCTCTCATATCTCCATCAGCAGCGCTTCAGGCAAAAATAGAGTAAACTCTGTGTTAATATGTTCACTAACAATCATTGTTGCATGTAAAACAAGCCTACCAGTATTTAGCAGCCGTGTCAAGGTGCCTCTTTCCTTTTTCTTTTAAATTTTATGGCGTAGGATAGTGAGATAGTTTTGATCAGTATCTGTCTTTCATATTTGACGTCAATCATTCTGAAGCTCAAAGTTGTAAGTCTTTCGTATGGCCAACATTGTCAAGTGTTTTCTCTTTCAATAGCTGGATATATATGTGCTTTTACTATTTTGTGGTACTGGTTTTACTGGGTAATTCCCAGCACCTTCCTTTATTAATTAAATTCATGTATTGTTGGATCCAAATGAAAATTCATATATATTTCGGTTCAAGACACACACTGAATTGGTATGCAAGCCAGGTACATGAAATGTTTAGAGGAAGTGTGTGAGATAGTTTTTGCTTTTCTTTATTTTTAGTTGCTTTTAATGGACTGAACGTTCGCTTGTAGCACTCTTGGCTACAGCCTTATGTCCGTGATATCTGGAATTGGCTGAATCTGTCAAGCTATATCGGTTGACCGTTTTTGACATCACGCTTAGCCTACTAGTCCCATGTTTTCTTATTCTTGTCATTTGTTAATCCTATCCACTAGTCAAAAATTGTCATCAACATCTTACAGCAAAACAATTAATTGAGCATTTAACCCAGTCCGTAGCCGCTAGTAGTACCGGCTTGAAGTCGAAACCACCATCCTCTTTCTCCTTCCCTAAATTTGTTATGTATGTACATTGTTGACGTGCCAAAATGGTTGGAGTTACTATCTATCCAAATGAGGTGGAATGGATCAAAGTCTATATAGGAATTGATTAGATTTGGAGGGTCGGTTAAACATGAAGAAAGTATTAGGCACCCCACAACTTCCATATAAATATGATTATCACATACTTTAATTTTGAGGAATTTTAATTTTTATGAAAATAATAATAATTACCAAGAACATAAAACAAAAAAAAAAA